TATTAATAAATAAATAGATATTTATATTTAGTAGAATTTCGGCTTTGCTGATAAGTAAGCGTTCAACCTCTACAATTTTTTTCTACATATAGAAATTTATAAAAATTTTGCTTTCTGAACGACTTGTTTGTACACCAAACCATTTCTTAATTGAGAACTAACAGGCTTAAATCACATTATTTAGTATTGAAAGATCAAAATTCAGTTATTTTAATATACCATAAAAAATAATAATTTACAATCGTAATAAATATCGTTTGTTTTGAGGCACTGTCACACTGTCACATTATCACATTGGAATAACATGGGCATCCCATTATCCCTGGAAGACACGTTATTCTATCATGCAAAGCTCGTTTTTTTACTAAGCCTAAGCTGTCAGCTGTCGGGTTTTTAGGGTTGTCAACAGTTTACTACATAAATGGCGGAAAAATTTAAAATTTTCGTATATTTTGGGATATTTTGTATTAGTGATATGGCGTTAGTTCTAAGGTCTAGGACCAATTTCAGTCACCTCTGGCACTAACCACAGATTTAATAAGAAAATTTGTTTATTTAATTTAATTTAACTAAAAAATATTGAGCACTATAAGCCCTGTCAACTCAGAAATAACTACATATATGAAACGTATTATGGCTTGCGGAAGGTATATATTGATTGCATTAACTTGTTTTGCTTTCAACCGTTATGTGAACAATACTATTATTCTCTGAAGCAACATGTTGCGAGAGTATAAAAACACGATTAGGTGATCGAAAATAGCCTACGTATACTAAATATGCACTGAAAAAACAAACTCTTTAATAAAGAAAAAAAAAAAAAGAAAAAAAAAAGATTATATAAATTTTCAAATAAGTACCTAACTTATAACTAATTAGTTCAAGAGTAAATCATTTAATTCCAATTTACGTCTTATAAAAATCAGAATGATTTATAGCAACCTCTTCTGAACAAATGGCTTCATAAAAAGAGAGTGCAAACACAAAGATTATCAAAATAATAAAAACGGTTTTGATAAAGTCAACAGTTAAAAACCATTCAGCATAAAAAATTTTAGTTGACATTACCTTCGTTCTTTATCTTTTCTTGTGTCTTTTACAACCACCTAAAAGGTATGAGCCGGCAGTGCCCTACAAAGCTTATCATTTTTCGTTGTGTTATACCACTTGCTGGTACTTTTTTTAAAGCGATATAAAAAGTTTACGCCCCATTAAAGTACCATTTTCTCGGAGGTCCTGAAAGCAATGACAACCAGAGGTTTTAAACATGCACTAACACAATTTTTGTGCTATGAACTCACTTAAGATGACAGCAACTAAGTAATTGAAGCTCACGAACGGAAAATGTGAATTACTTACATATGTATCTCCTTTGCATTTACTAGGGTTTTGGAAAAGATGTTAAAATAAAGT